GATACTAACCTAGGGAATGCAGCGATAGAAGGCATAGAGAGGTATGATGTGGGCGTGTGCGGCGCGGTGTTGGGCGCGGAGGGCGCGCTGTCCGAGCTGTCCACGCCCGCGGACACCAGCAGGCTGTCCGTAGTCCCCACTGGAACACATACCGTGCAGTGATAAAACTAGCTTTCGCCCGCGACTCCGTTCGCGTGGAATGAAAAAATGAAACTGCACAGGAACAGTTTGTTGTTAATAAGTTACCTCTCTTCTTATGCGGCATCTTGAGTGCGTGAGGTTTCTTCTGTCGTCGTCGCAGCGCGGCCGCTACTTCCGACACTCCCGATGAGGTGGTCGATGAACTGAGACGTAACATGCATTAGCGAGTGGTCAATTATTTATGAAAATCCCATTGTAAAATTCTTTACCCTGATGCACTTCCAGCTCTATAGACCGGCAATAATGTACTACTGGGCCGTGTTCTGCTCGGAGACACCACACTTATAAGCTGCAAGTTAAAACACAGTTACACTTCTAAACATTCAACTTAAAACATAACAACGTCGATACCTTTCCATCCCTTTCTTCATGAACTTGTTTCATCTGACTTCGTTCTACTTCTCTCATCAGCTCGTTGCGGTATGCTCGGAATGATGCTGCTGATTTCTTCGATTTCCGTCTGTGATCAAAGACTTTAATATAATTAGCTTCTATGTTTAAAGATTCTAGAGATTTGATTTAGAAGGCTCTAGAATCCTATACTCCAACTGATGCATACGAAAATTGTTAAAAGCTTACGAAAGTGAATATGAGTTCACCCCAATCAGGAGTTTCAGGAAAAAATATCTAGCAATATACATTACAGTAATTATGAGAGTCTACAATACACATCTAGCAAAGAAACAAACACCAGTTTACTTGTGAGCGAAACACAGCAGTGCGAGCAACACCAGCAAGAGGAGGACCGCGACGGAGGCGCCGACAGCGAGCGCCCACAGCTCCGCGCCGTGCACGCCCTCCGCCGCGCCCTCCAGCCCCTCCGCCGCCTTCAGGTACGCTGCTAAACACAACACATACCACATCCACAAAATTCAAAAGCACTAATACCCTAATGGGACATGGACTACCGATCTTGCGGTCGAGGGTTCTAATCCCACCATTCGACTATTGTGAACCATATCCTAGCACAAGCCTAGAGCTTAGTTAGGATGGTTAAATATTGGTAAATTAACAAAAATCTATCAAAATTCAGAAAATATGTCTACATAGAGACTGACTAAGACATTAGACTACTAATAACTATATTTGGATGGTGTAATACACAAGTAACTACTAGAAAGTATGAAAGTGTGGAAGAGAATATACTTAAGGATTTAATTCAGATATGCTGGTAGAAATGTATAGAAGAGCATTACAGTGTCGACCCTCGGCAGGAACAAGGGCAAGTTGATGATAGGATACATAACTAACAATGTTTGGAAGTGTGGTTTAAACGGGTCTTCATTACATTCTTTGCTTATGCTTCGAGGATAGAGAAGTTGATTTGACACTGAGTAATTTAAAAGTTGAACCATAATTTAGAGTGGATTTCTTATACTTAGTTACTTGTCTGGCTGTGATACTCACGCTCGGCTTTAGTAGTGACGGCGGCTCCCAGCTCGCTGGCCACCTCCGCGTCTCTCACGAGGCGCATGTCGCGCGCGGCCACCGCGGCCGGCACAGCGCGCCCTCCCACTAGCACTACGTATACTATTTGCACGCTGCCTGTCTCTGATGACTGCGTATGCGTTTGGTGGAAACAGACAAAGTAATTATTTTAACACCGTACTACGTAAGTAGCCTTTACTAGATTTGTCGAAAGTCAAAAAGAAAAAAGGCACAAAAGATTCAATTAGACAAAACTATCGTAGGAATTTCATTTGCAAGCTTAAGTAATCAAGAATTTTTAAAGCAATGATTTGTATTTTTGTATGTATTGAAATAACTCAAAAACTACTATGCCAATTTCAAAAATTCTTTTACTGTTCAAAAGCTACGTTATCGCTGCCTAACATAGGTTATATTTTTTAATTTCATGTGGACGAAAAGAGATGGATGGAGTGCGTAAAAGGGGACATGATCAAGAAGGGAGTGATGACTGAGATGACGTATAGAGTTATTTGGAGGACAAAACACTACGGGATAAGGATAAGGAGGAAGATAATGTGGACGAAATCGCAACAATAAGTTAAATTTTACCTCGGTTATATTTTGTATATGAACACGAACTGGTGGTTGTTGTTCAGGTTTTAGTATTTCCCTTTTAAATAAACTTGTTCCATTGCTTGTATCCTCTTCTAAAGGTATATCGATTAGATCTGGAACATTCTCTATTTCAGCTCTCGGTACTTCTCTCTTCTTTAAGATTACAGTAGGCGTTACCAACACCCATAATTCTGAATCGCTCAGCTTAGTAGGTTTTATTACTTTTGCAGGTATTTTAGATTTGTTAAATGCTTTTAAATTTTCTTGAAATTGACGATTAAGAGTGTTTAAAGTGTTTGATGTATGTTTAGATAGAGTTGTTATCGTACTCAGTATGAAATCATTGACATCGATCAAAGAACTGTGGATATCTAAATATTTTTCAGATTCAGAACTATTAGCGGATATGTTAAAATTATTATCTTTATTAACGACAAAGGAATGAACATCGTGTTTCTTCCTCGGTGTAGGAGCGTCAAGGGATTTTATAATACCGAGATGTTTTTCTTGTTGCCTGGAAAAAAAAACAAAAATGACATGATTTTTTTTATAACATAAGGTGGCAAACGAGCAAGCGGCCAACTGAATCCGCCAAAATGGCGACCGCTGCCCATAGACATCCGCAATTGCAGATGCGTTGCCTACCCTTATCCGACAGAGGAGGAGACGCACATAAAGAGGATATTTCCACTTCCTATGCATCTGCTCTACCGTCAAATCCACTTCCCCTTCTTATCCTCTCCTTATAAGAAAAGGGTGGTAAAGAGAAAGGGACTTAAATTAGGCCTCCGGCACCATACTCATCAGACGAAACACGGAATTACTTCCATTTCACGCCTCTCTTCTGTGTGGTCGTGGTATTACTGGGGGCGTGCCCTGCACTGCTAACATGTTAAAGCGGGCACTACCACTGTTGAAATGGATGAATTCGCTCTTTACTTGTTTAAATTCCGCAGAGTCGTTAAATGTTCACTAAGAAATCTTATCTTAGTAAATTTTTCTATTGTTAGTAACGGCTCCAATTAATTAGTTTGATAAAAGCATTAAGACTCTCACCTTAAGAATGCTTTCTGATACAATCTTGCTAATCTTAACTGTAGGCTGTCTGGAGTGGAACCTTGTATGACGGTTAGCAACCAGTACCGCCGATCTTCGGGTATTTCCGGCTCCAAGCTATCAGGGACGCTCACCTCTCCACAGTTCAATATGCAATCACCTGTCGTCTTGTCTGTCACCGCCTGGAATTATTAAAGAATATTGAGTCTCGCTCTTAAGGGTACATTCGGGGAAACTGGCGGTTGTCCTACTTAAAAGATTCAATCGCTTGAACATTTTGAAACGAGAAGCGGAACAAATATTAATACATATAAATATGTATGTACGAAAAAAAAGTCGGCTAGTTACTTTTTATGATTATGCCTTCGTTTGAACTCACTGCTATCTAATTAGTTATTTGTAGGTAGAGGTGGAGTGTGTCTAATTGCAATGATCAAGGTAATTGTTCCTAAAGTGGGACACCGCAGAATTCCGCGACTGTACATGAGTTTGTACGTGTGACAAACGCTATAGTTTTTGCGCAGCGATTTTATTATTTATGAGTAGTTACTTTTAATGTAAAAGTCAATTTTCTTTTATAACAAAAGAGACAAACGAGCGGTGAGAACACCGAGGTGGTCAACGATGCCTATGGACATCTGCAACACCATAGGGACTACAGATGTTGCAGGCCTTTGTTATTTTCTCAATGTTAATTTCTCTCTAATATCTCTTGTTATAATAACCTGGGGTGGATAAGAATCCAAGTAGACAGTAGCGAGGACTGTGGTGGTCCGTACGATAGGTGTTGAAGGCGACGGCGCTGGGACTGCGATATCGGGCGGCGGAGGTCCGTCGCCGGATCCCGTCCAGAAGAAATCTTCAAGCCGTGGCGTCCGTAAGTGTTGGTCGGGTGATACGAACATGTACACTGGAAATGTATGTTATCAAATATGATTTATATTTACTAATTAAGATAAATCTACCTTCTAAATTGAAAAGATAAATAGTGTTTTTGATGATCATAGTTCTACCGTTGTCTCCTTGGCCTGCTCGAGTTTTTATAAAAGATTTCCCAAAGTTTGTTTCGGAAGTAATTGTATGCAATATGGAAATTTAGAGAATCGGAGTTGTAAGTATCGACTGACAGGACGACAATAGACAAACATTTTAGGGCGGGCATCGCGTGATCTCCGGAATAAGCGTGATTTAGAGTTTATTGGCCCTCCGTAAGCTGGCTTCAACTCTGGATATACTTCAGGGCGTTGGTGCAATTTGTCAAAAGATAGATTTTATATCCAAAACGTAATCCACATTGTCTCTTTTAAATAAGATGTTCTGATGTACCGGAAATAACATCCCATAGAGAAGTGGACTGATTTAGTAATACACTACATTTCCCCTTATCATGAAAGTTTTGAAACTTTATAGTATTAATTATTTAATCATTTTTATTATTGCGCCTAAACATTTTTAGAATAACAAAGCTTTTAATTAAAACTCGTTTTTTTACGCTTTTGCAAGAATCTTTACGTTTTCTTACGCACGTTATGACCGAGACGAAAATCGCTTTCCGCTTGTAAATAAGACTATACGAAGATATTCCTGGTGCCACCCCGTGCCGAGCTCCAGGTCAGATACTAAGGAAACGCACAACCGCTTATCTAATTGTACCACAGAGTAACTACTAGTTTATGTATAAGAATTATCTTTTTTTTACTATAACTTTTGTTTGCTATAATCAAATTAGGTTTCATTAACAAACAACTGTACAAATTGCCTATTCAAATAAAATCCAACTTTACGAAATTTCTTGTGGTCTATAAAATCTATTTCTGAACGTTTAACTTTATGGTTTTAGTCATTTTTTCTCGATAATATTGAAATTTTAAACAAATCCAACGAAACTTTTTCGTCAAATACAAAAATAGAAATGTTCCGAGGTCAATATCTGTGATTATCTGAAGCCAAATTGACACAGTTTAAATAATCCATTAAACGGTTTCCGTTTGTAGGTCGCTGTTAGAGCACGCATCCTGTCCGAAACCAGGTTTCGAATCGTACAATTGAATAAAAAGCCATATAAAAGCGTTGTAACTCTGCGTGTAGGGTTCACACATTTTACACTGTGAAAATATTTAATTTAGAATTAGAGAACTGTAACGAAAAAAAAAATGGTTTAAGTAGAAGATATCTGAAATCACAGATAACAATATTTTACTGTTTTTGTACATGGAAATATACCGTGAAAAGAATATAGTTTTAAAATTCTACAAAGAATATTTAAAAAAACAGTAATGTGAAACTTGTAATTCTTATTTACGTTTAAGTTTAATTTTAAAAACGAATTTTCAGAATTTTATGAACATCAAAGGACAGCCCTAAAATGATGGATTCGTACAGTTGCCATCTTGTTAAATGCGTGGTGGTCAACGGAAGTGGACACCGGCGCGGGCGCCTTCGACCGTGACGTTTCGCCTTTAAATTTGGAATGCATATGAACGTCAATGAATTATTTAAAAAAAACTCTTATGATGTGACCTTTTAAATGTACATTCGATAATAAAACATTAAAAATATACACATTGTAAATCTTCCTTAATTAAGTATTATAAATGCGAAAGTTCAGATGGATGGATGAATGTATGGATGTTTGTTAGAGTTTGAAGCCTAAACGGCTGAACGGGTTTCAATTAAATTTGTATAGTATAGTCTGGAAGAACACATAGGATACTCATATTTGTTTTTTAATTCCACGCGGACAGCGTCGCGGGCGAAAACTAGTCTATATTTCCTTAGATTTATACTTTTGGATTTTTTTATTTGTTAAAATAACTAAAAATGACTGGGCCGATTAAAAAAAATATTTTCCCGTTAGAAAGGTAATTTATCTGTGAGTAACATAGGCTGCATTTTTAATTATTTTTGTATTTCACGCGGACGAAGTCGCGAGCAACAGCTAGTTTACTATAATCCTATAACTGATCCAGTGTGAGTTAAAATTATACTAGAAAAATTATAAAATTACTAGGACTAATTTACTTAATTTTCGCAAGTAATTTATTCAAAGAAAAGACTAAATAAAATTTAATTAAAATGAAAAGTACTTACTGTCTTCGTCACTGTCGAATTCGTTCGCAAATGCACTGTATGATGTAAAAAATACATTTAATGTAAGTATACTTTGAATTATCATAGCGACTATTTACATTCCCTTTTTATAAACAATGCTAACACTGCCTTAAAGCCAATAAAATTTTGCCATTAAATTTATTAAAAGAAACATAATAAGTCTATTTAATTGCGAATTGTAATAATAAAATAATTTAAATAACTAGTATTGAATATAACAGTTTAGCGTACTGGACAAGCAACCAACTATAAAAATCGTCGAGTGGCCACTGTGCTTTTTGGATTACTATCGTGTTGCGTAGCAACCAACAAACAGCACAATTAAATCACCCGCGCTCTACGACTGGTCCTTTCAATCAACTTCATTTATAACTTTGAATTCGAAGTTTATATAATGCTTAGTTAATTCCTTTAAAGAAAAGTTATTTCGTCATATAAATAAGTTCAAAACTGTAATTTTTGTAGTTTTTATATTACCTACTTTCTATTGTTTTCTAAAAACCTTTATGTAGTTTACCATGAACTCAGGGTCAATTTGTTTCTGGTATACATAAATAAGTGGTCGATTTGTATTTTATTGTTTAGTATGTAGAACCTATAATTATTGTTATCGAAAGCTATCAGGTATCTTTTTTGAATATTTTATTTAGTTTCTTTCATTTATTGCCATAAACAAAATGTTTAATTACATTTTGGTAGTTATTATAATTTTTTAGTTTGGTAACATTTTCTTAACCGTCCATTCAGTGTTGCTAAAACTACGGAAATTGCCGGGTTTTAGGCTTTCAGGCCAACATATCACAAAATCAAGATATTTAGGCTTTTAGAAAATCTACAGTTATTCATTGTTTTCTTTTAATAAATTTATTTTACATGTCTCTTGAATGAAAAATAAAAAAGTAGTCATTGATTTGTCCTGGGAATAATTGAGTTTAAATAAGCTTTTTACGTTTAAGATGTCTAGTAACTTGAAAAAAAAACAAGGAGCGACAATTTTAATACATTTCATTGATGTTAAACGATAATATTAAAATAGCAACCGTATCTTTTTTCATACAAACACGGCTTTTTTGTAAAATGTACACGGAAGGGAAAAAATTTTTATTGGCAGCACTGCGTTCATTTCTCGTGTTTTGCAGCTATGTTCACTTGAGTTCGTCGCTTTCGTTCGACGGATAGCGCGACGTGGACGGGTGTGTGCGAAAGTATGAAGTGAAATCGTACTAATAGTGTGTGAAATGTTTAGTGTTAGTTTTTACTGTGTTTGAAGGCAAAATGAGTGCGAACGGATAACCTAACTAACCTTTTTTCGACCGTTGAAACTTTACACGTTTGTGTCGCACGTAACATTTATATGGACGGTTTCAAAATGGCTGTGTTTTGAAAGACCCTTTGTCCGCTTTCGTGTGTTTCTTCAGCATGGTAGTGGCACTATACGAGCATAAATTCGTCTTAAGAAGGTAAGAATGTTAATATATTAAGACTCAGATTACATTCTAAAATCATCTAGTGGAAAATTACTGGTTAAAACTGAACCGAACTGTCGCCTACCTTTCTATGCCAGCAATATCCGACGCTTGCTTGCGACGTGTTAGTTTCTATTAGCAGTTTTTACCTCTTTTGTTGAAGAGTAGACTAGCATGTTACGTGTTATAGTTGAAAATTCCATGCGCTATAAAATCTTAAACATCCGTTGGAAATATTTTAACTGCTTCGTATAAGACAAGTGTATGTTTACTTCGACGTATGTTTTCCATAACAAATTAGCTTATTGGAATCCACTACATTACTCATATGTTTGCATTAAAATGTATCTTGTTATAAAAATTGCTTATTTCCTAGAAATAAATTATTTATTTATTTATTACCATTAAAATAATATTTTTAAGTTTTAGTCATGGTTGACATAATTCTGTACTTAAATATTTTTAATACACCCGTTTTTTTCTTGAATAGTAATTTCAACATTTAAAAATGAATTAAATATCTAATTTTCTGTTTGCTTGCACTACAGAGTGTATATAATTTCTTATAATAAATAACAATTTGTCACTCATGCAATCAATTTAATAAATGTGTTGTGGCTATCATTGGCACTATTCAAACTTTTTTCCAACAATCTGATAACAATCTTAAAGTATATGTTATTAGTACATTGAATTGTTAAGTTTTCACTTTGATAAAATAAAGACAATACCCAATTCTGTCCGGGAAGCTGAAATCTGTCACATGTATAACAGTCTTTGGTGCTGTGCGGCCAACACTGTAATTAAAAGGAGGAAATTAGTATAGAAAATTTAAGCAAGTTAATCTATAATGGAGAAACAAGAAATAGAACAAGAATTGGGTAGAAACATCTTTTGAAGTAATCATAATAGGGTGAAATTTTTTTTTAGTGTTATATTAATGTTATTTATTGTTTCTTTTTTTATAGTTATTGTTTTAACATTTTAATGTAGAAGTAGTATAGTGATATTAGTTTAAGTTATAATTGTAATTGTAAAGTTTTTAATAAAGATACATCTGAACCTCAGATCCAAACTTTTTTAGAGGGATCGAGAGGGTGATATTGCCATCCAGAAAAAAAGGATTCTATACTTAATTCAACTAAAATGTAAGAGAAAGTATTTTTTACAAACATAAAGATTTCTGATTCAATGTGAACTTATTTGATTTTAACAAATTCAGTTCAACTTGCCAGTTCTAAATAATTTGAATTCTTCTGACAATAATAAAAATATGGCTTGATGATTATTAATGCCAGTTTTATTTACAATTGCAAGATCACAAAATAAATTAAATGCAATATTATTATTTCCTGTAAAAAATTGTAGCCTATTATGACTTCATTAAATCTGACCAACCTAGATTTAGCTTGACAATAAAATTTAACATAAATGGCCACAAGATTCTATGTGACCCGAGAACACGCACACAAACGGTACATTATCTATGCTCGTGTCAAAATATATTTTCACCATATTCCATTTTGCAAGGATTATTCAAATGATATTCAATATCCTATACAACTTGGATACTATTAAAATTATGCTGGTTTAAAAAAATCATTAATAATCGTTCCTAAAGTATAACTAACTAGTCATTGCTCGCGACTTCGCCCTCGACTTCATGAAATGTTACTCACTGATAACATAGCTTTCTAATGGTGTAAGAATATTTAAAATCTGTTTAGTAGTTTTTGAGTTATTTCAATACATACAAAAATACAAAGCTTTCCTCTTTATAATATTAGTATAGATTATTAAATGGATAGCATCTACATCTATTTTTCTGGTGCCGGTATCGACTAGTTTAAGACGCATCGGAGGTCCGTCTTCAACGTTCCTAACTTTGTTTTCGCCGTTCTAATATGAATATGTTATCAAACAATCTTAAAGAAAAACATTTTTAGCTAATTGGCAAACACTTATCTAATAAAGTGGCCATAAAATATTTTCGTCTAATGTTTGCGTAAACAGCTGATGTAAGAATGCTCTGTTTCGTCTAGAGCATCCAATGCACTATGTTGCATTTAATTTCATAATTCGTTTCTTCCTAATTTATTTAAAACATCATTTATTACGAATTATTATTATTCAGAATAGTAATAAACGCAAAAGTTTTTGAACACCGTCAGTGCATTTGGTTTGTCTATGGCTATTTAAATCTATGAAGACTTTTGGACTTAACTATTCGTAGTTTCCTGATGTACCCAGTTAAAATAACATTGGACGTCCAGTGCCTAGTTAGGCACAGGATGTGTCTCATTAATTCTCTCTACAATTACTGGTTCATTTGTCTGTATTAAGAAATGTGCCTATGCGTTCGTAGTTACCTAAAATTACTCCATATTACGGCTTACATATGACATTTTATCTACATCAAAGTTTTTAGAAAGTTTTATCATATTTTAAAAAGTGCATTGTACTGTTTAGTTGATGTACCCGCATTCGGATTTTTACTTTATTTTTTGTACTTTTAAATACGCGAACACCCACAGTTCGATTTGAGTGTTCAGTTAATTTAATAGTTGGTTTGACGAGGTGTTTTTATGGCGTACATTAAACGTACGCCATCAATATTTTTATGAGTACGGATTGAATTTGATCACTTTTGATATAGCTACGGTTTACCTTCAATGATTTATTTCCAACGATAAAGACGAAAAGCCTTGCTAAAGTCGGTCAAAGCACTACAATTTACTGAAAAGAAAAAATAATAAAACGTAATGTATCATTGCCTTAAAGCCCTTTTTTGAATAACATTCGTCAATTCAGGTTTGGTAATGCGGATCATAAGTTAATTTTTAAAACACGAATAAAAGTTTTCGGTTTATTCAAAGTTGATGTTAGTTGGCTTTAACATGGCATGTATAGTTTTGTAGTTTAACAAGCGAAAGCCCGGGTACGGCTCGAGCTCTCTTCAAACTGCACTCAACCTGTTTGAGGGTAGGCAGCCGTTTGCATAGCGAAGGGAAAGTTGGCTAGAGTACTCTATTTAATTGCGCCCTTTTCACCTTGTATAAATTATACAAGAACTAAATGAACGAACCATTTAATCTGTGAGTATCTGCTAGTTGTTGTCTTTTAATTTTAAAGTAATTTACAATGTTTATTTAATTTTATATGATATTTTATTATTTTAATTTAGTCACTCTTGTCACAGACATTGGTTCCGTAGACAAATAAGGAGGCGAATCGTTACCTCGGACAATAAGGATAATTCGAACCACAATAAACCTTCTACTAATAAACTGTACTTCATTTATGTAGCTTTTGTTGGGCTAAAATAATCTAATTACTGGCATATACGTGAATATAGATTTTTTCAGAGTAAAACGATGTAGATTGCATCATTCGCTTTTTACACAACTAGACTAGCATCATAAAAAGTCATTCGCCGGTTTCGTTGTGTTGATATGGCATTGTGACGTCATAACATACAACGAGAGTGTAGGCTAATAGCGTTGAATCTAACAATATTATAAAGACAAGATAAATATACGAAAAAAAATAATTGCCAGTAGATTGGGTAATATAAAAGTCCCGTTTGGATCCGATACCGTTTATGTATTCTTTTATTTTATGATGTCAATAGAATATTTCGTATATTATCGTCTACAAAGATTTCAAGTGTACAAGATATGCCGTCCGACGGAGAATTCATTGGCCTAACGCCAGTAGACCGTGATTTTTAAATATTAGTCACGACAAACAATCTCTTGCCTTGTACGCGGATTTCGGAACACGAAAACAATTATGATTTAATGTGATAACCGTGTCCGTTAAAATAAATATTTATTGAAAAATAACAACGATAAATGTGTTATTAAATCAATACCAACTATAATATTTTAAGGTATAGGCAATTGATGTTATTTTGCAGATCACTAACCAGTAATCGCTAATACGTAGTCCTTGGTCACTTAAGGCCCACAAAATGCTGTTAAAGCAGAAATCGAACCGGAACCAAAACGAAGCAAAATGCATAAAATGAAACCAAAATTGAACGTAGCCTTAGCTATTTGCTTTCGCGTTGTCAACGCTTAATAAACCAAATCTTAAAACAATATGTACTTTCCTATACAGGCATATTCGTCTAATAGTAGCATATCAGTTTTGTTTTTAAACCTTCACTAAGTCTTTGAAACCTTGCAAAAGAGAGCACGGCGTTCCATTCTAATAAGCGGATTCCGGAGCTCTGGTGGCGCTGGTCAGCCGACTTGACTCCGTCGAGTCCAGTTACACTGTAAGTCTAGATTGTTTAGACACTCTCAAGTTACCCGCGCCGGTTGCGTCGCCTTGCTTGTATCGGACACCGGTGATGCCGCTTGTAACCCGGTCTGGATAATGCCGAGGACTAATGTAAGGTGAACCGTGGAAAGTAATGACCGACCTTTTTTATTAAAATTAAAAACGGTTAAGAGTAGGAACCCTAGTAAGATAGAACCGACTTTATAATGAAATGTGTTAAATTAAAACAATTTTTATCATTTTATTTTTACTAACGACTAGCTGTTGCCCGCGACTTCGTCCACGCAATATTAAGATCAAAATTTAATATGCCCGTCTATGTCAGCTACCTTTCAGTGAAAGTCCGGTCGAAATCGGTTGAGCCATTTCGAAGATTCCCCGAAACAAACGCGCTTGCGGATAGACAGACAATTTTTTTAAATGCGGTTTTTATTATCAGAAACGCGAATACATCAACTTCCCGAAATCTGGAATTTTTCTTTTGATAATACAAACGGACACTCCAATTTTATTATATGTATAGATTGAATAGCGTAGAAAAGGATCGTCAGTTGTAATTTATCGCATGTTATTTAAGGCATCATCGGTCCGAAAAATTACATGTCTGAAAGAAAACAACTAATGCTGTGTAAGTTGAGTTTTTGCACATTTGTGGTAACAAGGTTTTATATAGGTTTGCGTTATCACTTTTTTATTAGTTTTGAAATAACATCTATTCTAAGAAAAGAATACCACAGTTCAATGCTTTGACATGAAATATCTTACTAAGGATGGTGCTAAGTATAGTTCGTATAAACAATCTATGCTAAGAGAATAATTAAGTATCTATCAAGAAATAACCAAGCAGTAAATTGTAATGTCGTGTTTTTTTTATTTAGTTAAAGTTTGTTTCATTTTGTTTTGATAATAAACGAATGTTTTTTTAAGCTAAGATTTGTACATTTAGTAATCGGATTGAGTGCTATAAATGTGATACATATTTAATTAAGTCGGCCCTAAGGGTATCTCAGTAACTACAATTAGGTTAATGAGGCGCGTCTTCATTTTTACGTGAAGCTTTCGTGTCGCACGTTATTTACGACAGGCCATCACGAAAGTCAAGGATCCTTAGTAATGGCGGCTCTTAGGGAATGAAAACTCGATTCCACGGCGCACTATATGGGATTACAGAGGAAAATATTAAAATGACAACCCCCTCAGTCTCCACTTACCTACCTCCCTTGGTTGTGGGTGTAGGATGGTCTTTTTCTCTCACTAATTGTATTATGTTGCTGAAAAATTGGATAGACTCTACGTTTTCGGACGTTTATCAAATTCTCTGACGTTAATATTTCGAGAATTAAGGTTAGTAGGATTTTATTTTTACCGTAGTAATGGGAGTGGTGAATAAAATTAGGCTGAATGACTATTTATTAAAATCTGATTTGTATTTTTATGGGGTTTTATATCGTTAGTCTATCAATTAAAACATGATTATTCGGACTATCATACCTGATACTAATATTATAAATGCGACAGTTTGGATGTATGTATGTTCATTATTAAGTTTGCTAAACTGCTTAATGGTTCTCGATGAAATTAAGCACAGATGTAGATTATAGTCTGAGAGAACACATAGGGCTATTTCAATAAAATTTTTAATTCCTCGGACGAAGTCGCGGGCATAAGCTAGTCTTTCATATTATTCTTATAATGTTACATAACCTTGTCAACACAATGTTTTTTTATTACCAATGCCACATAATTATAAAAGCCTGTTTGTAATATATGAAAATGAGTGTATTGTTATTATCAGTATGAGATATTTAGACAATGCGGGATCTAAGATTTATAAGTTATTTTAAAGAACGCATAACGCATCATATGAGGCTTGTTATCTTTGCTGTACAAGGTAAATGCGTCAAGAGTTGTTTTTTCCTGAAAATTGCGTCATTTGATGTAAAAATAAACACCGTATTTCTCGTAACTTTTAGGACGTATAACAAACATTTTTTGGATAAATCCTAAGGATATAATAATGTCATAAACAATAATATCTTGTAAGTAATCGGTTGATTTTTTCTATAACCTGTTTCTTTTTTCTAGGGAATGCATGTCATGTACCCGGACAGCTGGGTGCAAGATCGCAGCAGTCAGCCATTCTCTCAGCAGGCAGGCTTGCCCTACTCCTGGGCGCCCCCTGTCAAGAAACGCCCTCTGAGCCCCTCCACGTTGCTATATCACTCCGGACAAGTACAGCCGGACCGCACTATCTACAAGGTAAGTTACACTGCGTCACTAAAAATCTCCGTTGTTTTGTGACGTCATAAGTCACAAAAAATGTTTAAATTGCAAATATTCGAATGCAATGAAAACCTAAATTCAAAATCAAATAGAAGAAAACATAGTTAACACGAGAGACGAAATGTAGTATCTATGAAGGTTTTATTTTTATGTATTTAACTATATCAGATAAGTGAAAAATCAATGTTTTTACTCGTTTCATTAAAGATAAAATATCACATGTAAAACCCAGGGTAACTTAACTTTTTAGTTATCAGAAAGGAAAGTGCGGAAATTTTTTATGTGCTGTTACGCCCACGGCCCTAAAATGTTTTATAGCTGCATATTTACATATGGAAAATACTTAAATCTGGTTAAAAGGCCTTTCTCCTTTAACATTGAGTTTAAAATTATTTTTAGAAATGACATTTAGGACATTATTGATTGTTATTCTTATCGTGTGTCACATGAACATGTTTAGTTATGGCCTTTATTGTCCGTATTCGTCAAGCATTTTCCATTTTTCTTTGATCCGCCGCCGAAATTAAAAAAAAATCCTCGAAGTTAGTAACAGTGTGGAAACTCTACTCAAGTACCATCTGTGTCCACTGTCGTCAACCGTTGTCGTTTGATAACCTTCACGTGTTAGTCTTTGTCGATTATGTTCGATTCCGTGCGTAATCGATTCCAATACCATGGTGTGGTACAATATTTTAATGTTGAATGTTATCAAGCGTTTATGTGTAACCTTTACGCTTGTCGAAGTGTTATATAAAATATATTTTATGTCGATTCTCTTATTTTTTTAGATGTTATTTCGAAAGTATGAAGAAACCGAGTTATTGAAGGATATTAAACTGGTTTTATGTTTTTTAATAGTGTTTACCTTGATTTTATATTTATTATAACAAAGATTTTCGGTTTTATATGGTTATAAAAGTATTGCGATTTGCTTTAAGATGTAAATTTAATATTCAACCTAAGATAGGAACGTTTTCTAGTTTCTCCAAACGGTAGGTTCTTTAGAAAGTAGAGATTCGCAACAGTTGCGTAAAATATACCTATAATAGAACCTGTAGTGGTTTTTAGTATATTTTTTAGTTAATATAACGGTATAGAAGATCTGAAATAGTAACTGAAACTTGTTTATCTCAGATATATTATCTTGGAACTACTTTGAAGATATTAAACGTATATTGTAATTTTCATGGAAAATTTTATTCGTTGAATATAGTGAGATAGTGACATTCTGTTTAGTCAGTGGTCTTGAATAATGTTGCCTCAAGTCCGATGGGACGTTTGGACGTTGGCGGCCATGTTGAATATTTAAACACGTCAACAGGCTCTTTGATAACAAACGATGTGATTTGATATGAATCGCCGCCTTCAATATAATGAATAATTTATTATTCCTTAAATAATGTTTTTTTATGAGAAATTATTATATAAATTGTCAATAATACGATAAACTCCACGAATTAATAATTTTGTTTACACAAAATTGTATTTTAAGAATTAGAATAAAATAAAATGATCATTGCTACACAAATTTCAAATTAAAATACTTTTGAACTAATATAAACACAACAAAATAAAATTATGACTATACAGATAAATATTAAGATGGAAAAAAGGCATAACAAACTCACGAAATATTTAACATATTAGATGAAGTTACAATTACAAAGTGTTATAAAGTACTAGCTGTTGTTCGCGTCTTCGCCCGCGTGAAATTAAAATAATATAAAATATAGCCTATATGTTACAGATAAATTACTTTTCCAATGGTAAAAGAATTTTTAAAATCGGCACAGTAGTTTTTGCGTGAATCTAATACTAACAAAAATACAAATCTTTCCTCTTTATAATATTAGTATAGATTTTATGTGAGTGAACGTGTTACGGCAGATTAGATAGCTTCTGTGTATTTATCCGTTGAGTATCAGAATGCGATACACGACGAAAATAAAATATCAAACGTCTATGGTAAATATTGAAGCAAACGAAATTCTGGTACGCGATCACGTGTCTGTCGATAAATCCCATTTGTAAGGCTTGTTGGTATATAACTGTACTGAAGTTTATTGCGAAGTTTGCCGATGGATTACTTATAAGTTTTATTTTAGTTTTCAATCTGCAGATTATGGATTAAGTTTTTGCGTCGTGTAGAATTTACATTTTTTTGGGTTGTTCTACTATTATATCTTTAATCTCTAAATCTTCCAGACTTTAATCTGTCTAGAATTACACCTTGGTAGAGACTCAGTCCCAATCCGCTGTGGGTGAGCCATAAACAAGAAATATAATAGAACAGAAATAGTGACTCAGTCTTTCTCTAACTTGTTTTTACTAATCATTATTAGATGCTAGCCTTCGTCAGAGACTCCGTCCGCGTGGAAAAACAAAGTAGCCTATGTTCTTCCAGATTACCGTTTACTCTACATCTATGCCAAATTTCAACGAGATCCGTTCAGCAGTTTAGTCTACAAACTCTAACAAACATCCATCCATTTATATTTTCGCATTTACAATATTAGTAAGATTGAGATGGAAGCGCTTACGTTGAAATAAAGCAAAATAATACAAAGTAGTAAACGCTTTATCGCGGCTTAGTTTTGACATAGGTGAATCTTATTTACGCAATACTGAATTGCAATGAGCACGTTCGTAGTCCGTCCTCGAATCCAAAATCATGCAGCATTTCGAATACATAATCGATGTGTGGAAATATCTGGCTTTCGTATCCTGTTGTTATCTGGTACTTGTGGCGTGGTGCGCTTGGGCATCTGTCGCGATTGTCTTTGTCCCGTTACGCGGCATCTGGGCCAGTTTTGAAAGTAACGATGCTCTGCAACTCGAATCTTTACGGGTAGGCGTTTTTGTAAGTTTTACTTTTAATGTTTAATTTATTTCGTGTGATTTAAAAAAATAATTCACTTTGATGAGTTTGAATAAGAGAATTCTTAGGCCAAGTGTTTTTGTTATTGATAGCATCACTCAATATAGTTTTAGATCATGTTTATATAAAATCCTGTGAAGTTTATTTTATAATCTAGATTCAGATTAATATGTCACCCAGTTCATTACTTTTAAAAATAAAAGAAGATCGATGTCTTATTTATAATCCGACCACAGCTTCGTTTTAGAGGGTCCCTTAGTCTTGATTTTGTATGATGAATACTATTAATATTGCAAGTCCGGTCTAATCCGACTCTGCATAGCGACCCGTATGAATTTCCCTATATTAAAAAAAAGGTATTTCCTTATTTGTAATCTCATAAATTTTTCATACGACCGGCTAGATGTAGCAAACGATCACGCGGCTAAGACACACGTAGAGTCTGGTGGTTACGCAAGTTACACGTGCCCGCCGCTCCCCGTGAGGTGGCAACGTGATTCCCCCCGTACACGGGACTCCGGGAATGAGGGATTATAAAGTTGGGTTTTACTTGGAAAATTATCAAGGTTATTTGGATTTGATGTATGTATAGTTTGCTTTAACTTGATAGATTGAAATTTGTAATTATACGAAGTTATGTAATTATGAAAATATTAACCTAATGTTGAATTTTATCTTGATAAAGCTTTAGGTAAGGTTTTTTTGTTGCCATATTATGATAAATTATTTTGAATTTTAGATATGTATAGCTATTTTATGTTTGCCTTGTTTTATTTGTGTTTTAAATTCAAGCAATGCAACATTCTTCTACGAACTTCAATTGTAGTTAAGGAAAACGAGGAATTGATAAAGAAACACGTTTAATTAGTTTTGTGGATTGTCATGATGATAATAAAATCAGTGATTACGTTTGTAGAAAACTGGGATTTTCTGATTTTGTATAACGTAATTTAAAAAATCGTATAAAGATTTTAAATAAGTATATTTTGTAAAACTTCGTCCCAAATTATTGTAGCGAGAAATTTGTAAATAACAAACGACACGGTGTATTTAAATGTAAATTTAAACGTCATTGTCATTAGGGTGTTAATCGAATGTGCGCCGGTATGACGCAATATCGTTTGTTTACCGAGCGCGGACGAGTGTGTGCGTCGCGGATAGGGTTACCATTTCTAAATTGAGACAAGTCTCGAAACACTTACGAACCATCTGGCGAAAAGAGACATCTCTAAGATCTCATTAGACATGTGACTCTTTTCATCAGGTATAATATTTTGTAAAGTAGGTGTGGTCTGAAAAATGAACAAATACAAGAATTAAAATTAAGATTTGATAGTATCAACGGTAAAAATAAGAAATAAAAGCTTAAAAGAAAATGCATATAATTTAACGGGTTAAACGGTAATTAACATGTTAATGGGGCGTGTAAAGTGTTGTATTGGTTCATGCAACTGTGTTAGAGCAATAAAAATTAACTATCTAACTGTGGTACTCATAGTTGTTTAATGGTTTTTAAATAGTTGCTTAGTGTTGATGTCTTATGATAAATCTGCGGTAACTGATACAATTTGATTATTATAATTAATTAACTAGAATATAGATAAACTTGTTTTACCTTAGTGTAAAAAATAATATTATAAAGAAGAATGATTTCTATTTTTGTTTTTAACATAAAAACTGAAAAATTGTATTCCGATTCCAAAAAAAATTCCATCAGAAAGCTATGTTATCTGAGTGACATAGTCTATTATTTTTTTAATTCGTAAGGCCGAATACGCGTGCAGTTGCTAGTGTGAAATACTCTTTTTTTAAACGACGCACTATAAAGATGATATGAACTTTAGTATTATGGTAATATTATAAACATAGTTTAGTACTGTGTGCCAATCTGCAATGAAGATAAAACTTTATTATGCGGTCCGATGATTATTAATGTTGCAACTTTCTTTGTAAAGCCAAATGGTTGGCGATTGCATCATGATATCTTGCTTGTAACTAAGTCGTGTACAGATTTTTGAATATATCATACTTCGTACTAATTTATAAATACGAATGTTTAGATAGATGGATGGATGGATGTTTGTTAGAGTTTGTATCC